CCATCTATAGCTATTTCACATGACTTTGCACTAAAGCAGAGTAGAAAACGTGCACACACACGCTCCGCTTCCCTTGCGGCCATTAGGAATGCCTCTCAGAGAAGCCTCCGGCATTAAGGTCTGGAGAGCAAGCAAATTTAATCATAGTGGAAGATGCAACGTTAGTTGCCCAAAGAAAGGCTTTACTTATTCCAGAGCAAGAGGCACAGTGCGGGGAAAAAAGCCCCTCTCCCCACTCTCCCCTAAAAAGGAAAGGTACAGCATATGCATACAGCCCACTGATTTCTGCTGAGGTGGCCCAAAGCCAGCTTATTAAACAAACTAGTTACAGCTATAGCTATAGAAATACATCTTCTTATCTAATACTGTGTGAAAAAAACGCTGGAACAGCTTTGCCTTTTCAGGTCTAGGAATCAAGCAAAAAGGGAGATGGATATGGCCTTCTCCCCTTAGTGCATCTCCCAGGACTGACAGAAGAGCTGCTTCTCACTGGCACATTTTAGGGGGGCCAAGTGCTCGGAGAGGTGTTTTACCGCAGTGCCGAACCGACTCTTTGGGACAGAAAGGGTTACAGCTTACCGCAGCAACGCAGCCTGAGAAAGCAGGTCTTGAACAGGTGAAGCGGCAGATGGCATCCTTGTCCCTGTCTGCTTCTGTCACTGAGTCAACCCTTGCTAGCCGCAGCCAGTAAATCCGTAGGAGCCACCCTCCTGCTTGGGCACACCAAGCGCTGGTGCTGCTGGGCACAGAGACAGCGGGGCAGCAGCTCTCTGCAGGTTCCCTCCGCCGTCCCTCCAGGGACGTCCCTCCGTGCCCTCTTCCCACGTGAATGATGACAACAGCCCGCACTGTATGCCTCGTTGTAACCGAGAGTACTTCCAAAAACAAACACACACACCCCAATCACTTCAGACTTAGCCAGCTCGGCCTACACATCCCAGCCAAGCAGGCAAAGTGCTGTCAGGTATCTGCTGGCTTCTAGTGTCACACACTGCTGAGGAATAGCTGCTACCCAGCTGTTTCCAGGGGCTGTATTTAGACTTCCCACCCAGTCACAGGCCATCTAAGAAAGCAGAGGGAATCTTTAAGCCAGGACTCAGCCTGACACTGACATTTCCCACTGTTCTTCAGGTATCCAGACAGGTTTTCAGGACAGGATCCCCTGACCTGTGCTAACGGAGCCGTCTAACAGGTTTCCTCTGTAGCCTTCAAGAGACCACACAGATTCTTCTTATGAGTCAGGAGGCTTCTGCAAACATTGTGTCTGCAAGCTGCTGTGGTCCAGCGCTGGGACCACAGCAAGTGCCGCCACTGCTGGCGGTGCCGGGGACACACGGGCAGGCCACACAGGAGCAGAGAGGCCTCTCCTCCTCACAGAGCTGCCTTGTGTGAAGGTTCAACACCAATATACTAGTTAGTATAATTGCACCAAGACATGTAAACAGCCTGCTCCTTTTTAGACATGCTGGTTGGTAGCATCTGTTTTGATTAACAGTTAATTTATTAGGGTTTAGGGCTTACACATGCCACTGGCAAAGATCCACTACTAGGTCACTGCAGAAGCTCAGTCTTGCCTAATTGGAAAGTAAGCAGCAGAGCAGATTTTACAGACGTGCAGCAAGTGGAAGATGTGCAGAGACCTCTGCTTCGGTGAAGGCAGTTCATCAGCACTCGTTGTGCTTTAGAAATACATTGCTGGTCTGTGAAGATTTCAGGTAAGGCAGTTAATTACACCCAGACAACGCTACAAAACAGATCTTTCTTACTCCAGGAGAAGCCACATTTTTCTTTCACTAAGGAGTTGCTGAGGAGTTGTGGGTTGGTTTTTCTTTTTCTTTTTTTAAAGCAGGTTGATGATGAAAAAAAAAAAAATCTCAGAACAGTATGACTATCATGAGAATGATTTCTAAAGCAGGAAGCATGACAGCCCCACACCCACAAGAGCAGAAGCAGCTGCCACACTCAAGTTGTCAGCCACACACTGCAGGTCTAATCCTACATTGCTTAAAGCTAACAGGAACTTGGATATTGTCTTCAATGAGCGAGTGCAGAATTAACCAGAAGTCCAGAACAAGGGAGGACAAAGAAACAGGTAGTATTACCCAGGTGAGAAAGTATTTCATAACCTCATCTCAAAGCAGGAACTGCAACGATAGAGCCTTACCTGAACAACAGTGTCACGTCCACCACCACTTAACATTCAGGATCTGGAGCACTAGGAAAGGATCCCACCGACAAGGAATATTAGTAATTAAAACAACTCTGACCTCGTCTGAAGTTACCTGCAACATGACTTCCGTGCCTCCCAGATTTTGAATACTAGAAGGGAAATTTCTTGATGTTAAGAGAAAGGAAAAAAAAAAAAAAAAATCAGAGCAGGTTGTTTCACTTAACTGTAACATTTCCACCTGCCCACCTCTTTTCTGCTCAAAGCTTTTCCAAACTCAGTAGCAGTCTCTGGCCTTAAGCATAGGCAACATAGGAAGCAGCCCAGTGTCAGTAAGAAAGCCATTGCCCCTTCGCCTCCGCTACTGCGGTGGGAGGCTCAGGATCAGGGCAGCTGGTTGTAGCGGCAGACCAGCAGCAGTCACTGCCTCTAACATTGCTGTTCCTCAGCACAGAGGAACAGCAAACCCAGCTCTCCAGGCAGGCGTGTGCGGCAGCATGGCCTACACACCCCGGGGGAAGCCTGAATATGAAAAAGCTTGGAGCAACTCTGTCTTAGAAAAGGGCAGAAACCAATGGGCAGCACCCAGCTCTGCCTGAGCAAGGCGGTCTCTGCCCTACTTGCAAGGACTCCCCAGGAGCCGAGCGCCTTTCCTTTCACAGGGAGGTCAGGGCAGGAGGGCAGCTACTTCCAAAAAAGCAGCAACTCACAGCCATACCAGAGTTCCCACAGCCTCTCTCACTCTGTGAAAGCAGCAAGGTAGTGTTGGAGGGGAAAAATAAAGAGAAAAAAAATATAGGGATTACTCCTCTTTGAGCATTGCTATGTGCCCCAAATTCCTTGTTACAGGCCAATTGCTCCTATGACTCAGTGTGGACAGCCTAGGATTACAAGTGCTTTTCTGGCACAGTGTCTGGCTCTAGATAGCTGCCCAGCAGTAGACTGTCCTACCTCTAGCGCTGCCCACAGGCTGTGTCGGTGTAGCGCGCTAGATTCCCCTCTGAATCAAGGGCCCATCACGCAGTATAAAATATGCTAAGACATTTTCAACACGGAAAGCTTTCAATGCTGTAAGGAACAGCCTTGCTTTCCACACATTAGCACACTGAAATCTGTGCAGCAAGTCTGTCAAACAAAGCAGCTGCTCCCCGGCTCTCCTACACCTCTCCTCAGATGGAGGAGCTTCAATTACACAGCACATCCACAGGATTTTAGAGGTAAAAGAGCTGCTGCCGTATCATACGCTTTTGGCCTTTTGCCTTCCTCCAGGCACTGCCTAAGATCTGATGCACCAGTTTGTCCATTTTCGTGTGGCGGCTCAATGTAAAAGGCTGCCCTGAGTTCGTTATTCACAGCCAGGATGTAGGAGTACAAAACCAGAAAGCTACTTTAATTACCGTTTCTCTGCTCCTACATTTTCAGGTTGGCAAGACAAGTTGTAGAAAATATTTTCTAGCAGGATGCAATCAACTGTAGGAAAAAAAAGAATAATATAAAGTTACTGCAATGTTCAACTTGACTTAATTTCATACAAGAGCTCTAAGACATGACCACATCCCATCGTTTCCAGAAGGAAGCAGGGAACATCTTTCACAAACAACAGCCAGGAACATTTGTAGCCCAACTCACTTGCTGCTTAGATACGATAGTAATGGCCATGCTAAAAGGCTTAATTAACTCCCACTGACTTCAGAGAAGTTACTGAATTAGAGCCAGAATAGGTCCATCAGCACGTTACCTTAATTTGTAGTCACCTCCGCTTTTTTGTCTCAGTCACTCTGGTAACATTACAATCATCGCAGCACTCAGATTAGCTCCTCTCTCTAAACAAACCCTGGAAAGGTGAATCTTCCCCCTAAAAAGATACTGCAGCATAATTAGCAACATGCACTAAATGCTTGTAATCCAGAGTCATCCTCCACAAAAAATAAGCTTAAGGAGCATCCTTGCAAACTGTCAAGTCTAAACTACTTGACTGTGTACAGTTTTAAGACTTTGTGCAAAGCAAAAGACAAAGCAGCCACACAAACAGGACCGTAATCAGAAGTGTCAGACTGTCAGCATCAAGTCGTGTTTTATATGCACCAGCAATACATTAGCACAAGAAGTACAGCAGTGTAAGATAAGATTCCCTGCAGGAATATTTTAGTTTATTTCTTGAGCCTGATCTTCACAGACGTAGCTGGTACTTTCAGGAACCTCAACAGACCGGAAAATTAGAGGACTTGTGGAAATGGGACATCGGGGTCTAAGCATCCACCTGACAGTTTCGGCTAGCATGCTCTAAGACAAAACACACACGTACACACACGCACCCCCCACTAGTTTGGAACTTGACAAACTATCCTGCTCCAAAGCTAGTGGGATGAAAAAGGAGCCAAAAGGCATAACTCAACTGCCAAAAAAATTACATCAGTAGTCTTATACAGCTTCTGCAAGATATAGCTTACATCCAGAAGCCAGTTAGAGAAGCTGCTTCAGACAGGAAGAGTCAAGGCTGGAAATCAGTTTAGGTGAGCTTCACACTACACATGAAACCTGCTCTCTGCCCTGCTGCACAGATTGCTGACAGGTTGGCTTACGTGCTCGTATGGAACGAACTGAGTCATGCTAATAAGAATTGAGAAAAAGAAAAAAAAGAAAAAAAAAAGGAAAGAACACCCCCCCACACACACACCTTTTTTAAGAAGCTCTGCATTCTTCAGGCAAGACAGCCAGTTTCATGAAGCTGAGGCTCATGATACACACACAGTTGCCCCTTTCACCCCCTTTGGGCACCAATTCATTTACACATGCAAAACAGTTGTGAAACAGACAGCTACATGCACTCAACTTTAAGAAAAGAGTTAAGCCTTTTCTTAAAGGCCTCTTTATTTTTGAATTCCTTCAAAACATAAGTTAATTTTAACAAATCAGATGCAAAACACCTGCATTTTAAATTAGCATATATTTTACTGTATCAATCACAGCAACCTCATACAGTAAGATACACAAAAATAGAGCATGGAATCACTTCAATTCAACACAGTTTTGTACTACAGTATTCCAAGACATATATACACAGGACTTTTCTTTTTCAAAGCAAGTAGAGTCCCTGCTATGTTCACCGTATAAATTACGTGGCATCACAGTTTTAGTTATTTACTGTAGTGTGAGTAGCCATATGGAAATTGAACTAGTGAACTAGAAGATACATCGTATAGCAGCCAAACAGGCATGACACTTCAGAAGGTGAACAGAACCAAAATAACCACCAAAATGAAAACCACCCTTAAACTGTATTTTAATAGTAAAATTGGTTTTAAATTCTTCGTTATATACATAATGTATCTACATTTGTGTTATATTTATATATATTTATATATTTATAAAAAACATACAAGATTTTGAAAACCTTAAAATCATTCACCTAAACAATATTTACCCCAACCTTCAGGGTCAGCAAGGTAATACTTGCCTGGAACATTTTGTTCGGTTGCAGTCACTTGATTCAGAGTTTTCCCTGATTGCTAAACATACGCCATTCACTTTGTTTCTTAGTGCAAACTGTACATAAACTTATTGTTCTCAGCCCTCTGTAAGACTCACGTTTCATCTACTTCCATACTACTTCTGACACCCATTTATGGCTAAAATGTTTTAGCTATTTTACAACATTAGCCTATATAGTTTCCCCCTCTACCTACCTCAACCCCTCCCCCCACCCCAAAAATTTAAGAAAAAAAAAAACAATCATTCATGCATGTTTCTGTCACACAGGGATCAATGGACATTTAAGTTTAGAAGCCTAGACTCTTAACAATGTTTAAAAAAAAACCCTAAGTGATTAATTTTAGTGCAAAGTGGACTACACAGTTTACACTTCAGCTAATTTTTTTTTTTTTACATATATTTTAAACACATTTAATTCCGCACATCTGATTAGGTTGCCTGATATTTTGTTCTAACTAGCTAGTCTGAATAAGGAAGTCAGAAGGATTCTTGTGTTTCCTTTTCATAGAATAAAACTAAAGCCTATTCATAATGAGGGAGTGGGGGGGGGGTGTCAAACTGTACAATGCTTAGCACAATGGTTCTTAGTCCCGGTTCTTAGCTACGGTTCCTCTGTGCTACAGTAATACAAATGAATATTATTATCTAATTCACATCCAGAACTGATGGATTTACTTTAATAGGAGTCACAAATGAGCCCTGATTTTTAACCAGGCTGGTGCTTTACTTGCTGGACTACACTACAGACTTTGCAGTGAATTTAGAAGCAAGCATAACATTTATACTTACAATTCCCATAACCATAAAGAAAAGCGTGCACTGAGAACCAAAATCCTACAGTTCTTAGACAAGACTCCAGTTAGCTTAGTGGTAGCCTTATCAGTGGGGGCGGGGGGAAAAAAACCTGGATTAAAAAACACACTGATCTGAGCCAATAGTATCAGTCTGCCACAGTGACTATAATAAGCTATGAAATACAGTACACAAAAACAAAAAGTCACCTGAACAAATAACCAGGAGAGACTTCATAGGTATAATGATTTTACCACTTTTAAGAACTCAACATATTAAATATTTATTAAAAATAAACTGTTTCCAAATTACCTATTTACAGTACAAAGAACGGTATTTAACACATGTGCAACAGAAAGTAAATAAAATCAGTACTCATCTGGAAAGACAACACTCCAGGCATAATTTAAGTGACATGAAAACAGGTTCACCTTTTTAAAATACCATACAGTAAAAACCAGTAGGATGATATTGGCAACACTAGAAAATAAAGCACATACTGTTCAGATTCAGATTATATAAGCTTAAGATAAACAACTGGGTGATAAGGGGAGAAGGAAGAAACAAAGATGAAAAGAAGAGATGTCGCAGTGTTTGCATTTTGGAGATCAAGAAATGCAGACACACTTCAAAAATGAGTCCTTGTTGGCAACACAAGCCATTCACATATTTCTTGCACATTTTAAAAGTCATACTTTATCAAAAACCGGCAGTAGTTTCATAATCCATAGAAAAGGAGAATCTTCATTTTTAAGTCTTTATTTTAAAGCCTTACATGGTTTTATTTGGGCAAGGAGATGACTACAATGTAATAGAAAGGTGTGATGTCACTTTTCTGAAGTGCAGCAGCTGCCAAGTTTTAAAGAAAAATGTGCTCTTCTCCCCGATTTAAATGGAAAAGTAATGATCAGTTAGAAGTTACCTAAATTATAGCAGCATGAACTCTAATGTACCTGCAGCATCTGTGAAGCCACAAAAATCAAGAACTGGCACCTGATCACTGAATCATAGTTCCAAGTATTTGGGCATGTCATTTTCATAAGAGGTCAGTGTATTTTCTTACCAGTGGAGTCAGAACACTAGTTACGGTAGCCCTTTCCCCTCCCCTCCAAAAGAGACTATTCAGGTCTATCTATAAACTACATGGGACAGCTGGGCCGATTTATAGTTTAACTGATTGTTAGGCATGAATCTGTGAAGCTCGCTTTTTCTACAGCAGGGATCATAATAGTAAGCATTGAGGCAAGTGTCACATGAGACTTTTGAACAAAAAGTGCAAGTGTTTGCAGCTCCAGATCGGTTACAAAAGCCACAGCGCGAGGTGCCTGAAGGTTTGGATTTGGAACTGAACTGAGAAGCTCTCTCTTGACTCTGAGTCTGTGAAGTGTACTGAGATTTCTCTCTTAAAGCAGATGCAGGAGGCAAGCCATCATTTGGAATCGGTTTGATCGAATAGGTGCTCTGTTTCACTGCTGGATATTCCTGCCTGGAGTTGAAGAGATTGTCACACTTTTGGCAAACAGAAGTGCCACAAGGAACGCCACAGTTTTGGCACTTGAGGGAAGCTGTCTCTTTGGCTAGATGCGTGCGTTTGTGGTAAACAGGGTTGGCATCACTTTTTAACACCCAAACATCAGGCTTAATAGCTTCTTGCCTTTTAAAATTTAACATACTTCTAGAATCAGGATCAGTATATAAATCTAAGTCTTCTTGAGCAGAAAAATAGGAGCTATAAGGGACATTTGTTCTTAACATGCCATTGTGATGAGATGAAGTTGGCAAGAATTCATCTGAACATCCATGTGGGGAGCTTGACATTGTCAGAAGAGAAGGTGATGGACGGATAATTTCATCTTTAATGTCATCTTCTGCATCAACTAAAATTGGTTCTTTCCTGAGACTCAGTGAGCTCATCAAAGGTGGTTTCTTATTTTCCCAATAATTATCATATGTGTCCACTGACTTAGAAGGCTTGCTCACTTTTGGCTTGAAATAATCTTTAGAGGCCCTTTCACTTGCTGACTTCTGAAGAACCATTCGTGCCATGGAAGTATTTAAGTTTTCTTTGCACTCTGCACGTCGTTTCATGGCTTCTGAGCAACCTCTAACGTCTTCACTGCTATTTTTTCGTTCGTTTATGACATCAACCTCTGAATAACCTTTATCCTTCACTTGCAAGTGAATTTCAAGAAGCTGCTCGCACTCCACTTTGGCCAAAAAGAGTTCAAATGAAACCATTTTCACTTGAATGGCATCAACCTGCTCTTTGAGCTTATACATTGTTCCCAGTTCTTGGACATAACCCATGTAGTTTAGAATCTGCCTTACATCATCTTCAGTTAGGGTAGATTTTACATAATAAACAAAGGGTCCCGTGTAGGTCTGAGGAAGGGGGGGGAAAAAAATAGAGGAAAACTAGGTTACAAATTCAGTGGTGGACTAGATGTTCAGATAATTCAGTGACGGACACTATATAATCAAACAGAAATAGTAACGACAGTGAACATGTGCAACTCCTGTGGCAAGACGAATTTCATTTCTGCATCCCTCCTGTTCAACAGATGGAAATTCTGCATGAGACAAACTCAAAGTAGGAGAGTTTTCATTCAAATTGAAATCCTGATTAGCATAATGGCCTCCCTGTTGATTTAAATCAGTATGCTATATACTGACATTAACTTTTATATGAACCAAACAGGTTTCTGTTTACAAGCAAGTTTACCATAAAAGGTAAAAAGGCAGAGATTTCACATACTCCCTCTGGACAGGGGATAGCTGGAGATAAGCAGAACTTGGAATTATTGCATTATTTGCTTACCAAAGTCCTTTTCAATTCAGCTTTAAATATACTGAGGTGAGGGGTATTTGTAAAAATCGCAGCAACCTATTTGAGAAACTTGGGACTCAAGGTGAGAAGGCTGCATTGCTTATACTGTTTACACTAAAGAGTTTTCTTTATTATCATAATTCCTATTTTTTAAAAAAAGGATATAGGTCCATTTAAAATTCAGCCTCAAGGAGCAATTCTAGGGAAACACATGCATCCTGCAACCTTATCATAATTTGCGGATCAAATCTAGGTCTCTCACAAGAGTTTGCTAGCTTATACGTACAGCAAGTAATGCTGTTGACATGTAAAAGACCAGACCTGCTGTAAATATTAAACTATGAAAGACAGAAGTCATCTGAAAAATAGAAGTAATTCTCCGGAACTTAAGTTTGGCTTACATGTTATATACACTTACAGAAACGTTCTGGATCGATTTCAGCAGGGGTCTACTAAGTTATATACCCATTCATCCCTATAAGCTGAATTTCCCAGTCTGAGGAATTCAGTGTTAGCATACAACGCTGATCACTCTCTCGAAATACCAGCACAGTGACTGGAGCATGTGGACCTACGTTTTAGATTACAGAACAGTCCTCAAACATTTAATTTTTGTTTTTCAGACCTACCAGAATTTCCTCTCAAGGCTTTATATCAGCAAGTATCTAGTCTGGAATAATTGAGGGGAAGATTTTAAAATAGTAACCCAAGCAACTAAGGCTAGATAGTTTCAAGTTCAGATGCACGTGCCAAACCACAAGCAAAGTTTAAGTCTCTTACCTGGAAAAGCAAAATGTCCATTTCACTGTGAAATTCAGATAACATTTTAGAATATCTGAATAGACTTAGCCAGTTTTCGGTACTGTGTACAATAAAAACTTTTACCACTTTAGTGTACTACTACTATACAGTTTTGAATGGCTGTTTTCTGTAATCTTAAACTAGGTCAAGAATTTATAGTTAAAAATATATATATACACACACCAATTTGCATGAGTTAGTTCCCTTAGCCTCTAGTATACCTGAGCTATGTTCTCACCACAGGTCAAATTGTTTTTGATTGCAAGCAGGTATAATTTGGCCATCAGATCCTTGTACTGAACAAATGTTGATCCACAGTGCACAACCAATCACCACCATCAGCAGCCGCACATCAAGAGACATCCTGCATGGACCATCCAACAATTCAAAAGCCTGAACTTAAGCATAATGATGAAGCTGACCTACGTGGAAATCTGGAGGAATGGAAGTTTCCTCTTAAGAGAGGCAGAGGAGTCTCAAACACTCCATTAATGTTCAAATTCTCTGATCAACTGTGAAACAGCTTGGGGGGGGTGGGGGGGGAGGAAAAATAAAAGAAAAATACCCATCACTGGTACAAGCAACCCACAACGCATTTTAGACACCTATGCCAGAAACACTTTTTATTCTAACTTCAGGTTTCAAAACAGTTCTTTTAAGTCACTTGTAGCACGTACTACTGAAACACTGCAGCAGCTTTTAACAAGCATATAAGGAGAGGTAAAAGATAAAACAGGAAATCGACAGCAGAGAACTCATTAGCTGTCTTCTAGTATCCAAATCAAGCAATACACAAGTTCCTACATTTCACTCCAAGATCCTGGCAAAAGTAAATAATTTGAAAGTACATTAAAATCAAAGCTTCATAAGTTGAGAACCGACAAGCAAGTAAAAGACATTCTTGAAACTATTATTTAGAGATGTTTGCTCACCATTATTATATAACTTGTGGAAACCTCAGCAACGCATCGAGTTGAAAGCACGGATTGATTGTTAGTACTTGTGCTAAATTAAGAGCAGATGCAGCATAAAGAACAAACTTTGAGTGAGCTTACATGCAACCTAATCACTCGCCCTAGTAAGAGCATCTCCAAGTAGAAAATAAGGCATAGCAGCAGGAGAGTCTGAACAAAACCATTAGATAAGTTCTTCCACTATTTTAAGGTTATTTTACGAATGAAGACAGGATTTTGACTTCCACTATCCAGACACTCTCACCAATACAAAATCCACGTATTTTCCACCTAACCTTTCCTATGACTTCTGTTTACCAGCTGTGTGCAGTTGACAAATGTAAATATATACATTAGGCTGCCTTAAGGAGTGGAAAAATATCTTCAAAGGAAATGCATGAAAGACGCCAAAAAAACCACACGTTTTTGCTACTGCCACATATGAAATATCTTACCTTAATATTTTTGAACTCCTTTTTCCAGGGGTAAAGAAAGAGATTAATTCCAACTGTCTCGAGCACACTGAACGCATTATGGAGAGAATGTAAACTTGAGGATTTCAGCGATCTCAGGGAGTTTTCAGCCATCTCATAAAATTTTATCAACCGGAATCTATAAAAGGGATCAATTTTGGGAAGGCAAAGTAAGGCTGACGCCGCCACTCGCAAATATTCATCATTAATAGGACGCTGCTTGCTGTCAGAGGCGTTCAGTTTGCATTCGTGGAACTGTACATACTTCCTAAATAAATCGTCTTTATATTTTGTATCCATTGAAATCAGATTTTGTCTCACACTTCGGCAGCTACCTCATCTCTTTCATGGTTATTCCACAGTAGGTTGATTATCTGGCATTAAGAATCTTCAGTAATGGCAACTCTTCTGGAATAAAAATTGAAAAAGACAAGTCATCACAGATGTCGATAGCATCTATTTGCCTCACAGGGTTCTATAAAATCATTCACAGTGCAGGGGCTCCCAGAACAGACTCTTTAGGGTTCTGAAAAAGCACAGGAGCCTACAGAAATGTTGGTGTCCTCCTTTTCACTGCTATTCTCTACTCCTTTCCCCAGTTAACTGTCTAAAACAGAGCACCAGAAAGCTAAATGGGGCAAGGCACCAAGAGTTTGATACCAGAAAATTGGTGGAAATTCAAGTCCAGATTGAGGATTCCTTGGCTAAGAGAACAACAGCGAAGGTAACTCACAACATAAGACCGAAAGACAAAAGCAGGGGTTTTTAGGGCATCTTCTCTTTTTCTTTTATCGCGCCTTTTCGATTCAAACAAATCGTACAAACATGACGAGAATTGCTCACTGTTTTATTTCGTTTGCCCTGCACAGAGATATAAAGGTACAAAATCCCAAAAAGAAGTTTCTTTTTGCTCAGATTAGGAAAGCATATACTTCTCTTTTTGCTAGTGGCATAGGCTCGGCCCATAGAATTGAGCAGATTAATACACTTAGCCTTTCTACTTCTAACATTTTCTAGGCTTTTGAACACCACTCATTCTATCCAACGGCACACCCCGGCCATCGTGGTGCCGGCAGTACGCTGCAGCCACCCCCTAGAGAGCACATGTGCCCCCGAACACTGCAAAGTACAGCCAAAGCTTTAGCCAAATGCTAGTAGTAGCATTGTAACCTTTTCGATGGAAAGCTACAGCTACCAATTTTAACTGCTTTATTAGAACAGAGCAAAATCATTTCTGTGTTTATGTCATTTTGTTTGCAGGGCTGGTTGCTTTTACGTATTACTGACTATGCTTTTTCATCTCATTGAGTTCTTATCTCCCACACAGAAAAAGCTGGTAAGAAAATAAGCTTCCTAACATTACTTTACCAAAGCCAAGGTAACTAACAGGTCAACAGACTCCATCTAAATTTCCTGAAGAAATTGTGATCAGAAAGCAGATCACAGGCTTTATTTTTTTTGTACTGCTATTTTTATTTAAAAGACAGCACAATCCTAGTCCTTATACGCTTCCTAGCTCTAAACAAAAAAAGAAGAAAAAACCCCAGTAAATCCATTGTATCAGTTATAGTCAGTCTGAAACAGCATTTTAGAAAGACTTCCCACCCAATATTAATTTCAGCAGCCATAAGATTGCTGATTATTTTAGCAGAAGCCTATGGGGACATTGAAAAAAATCACTCTAAGTGCAAGATGAACTGAATGAAAGGAGCCATAACACAAATACATGACAAAAAAAAAAAGGAAAAAAGGGTAGAAACAAGAAGGCCCAACAGCCTAGCAACTAATCTTGCTCGATGAGAGGATGTGCCTAACAGCAGCATCGTGTGGGAAAAGTTAACCAGCAGCTCAATTTCTGCTCAGAGGCATACTGCTCTTGGTCTTTGCACAAGCAGAAACGCACTGATGTCGGGAGAGAAGCTGTGAATCACAGGACACACGGGGTTCTAAATTAACATCTTAACACAAGGGGCAGAAGTAAGAATGTAATTCAGTCCTTTCCACAAAGCGCTCACTTCTCTCCCTCCCTCCAGGATTTTTCCCTCTTAATTTGTGTCAGACGAAGTCTGTGGACAAAAACAACACAATTTCTGTAACTTAGCGAGAACAGCTGTAGCTAGGCTGTACGAGAGAAGCGCAGACAGAGCTCTTCGCTTGGCACGCCAATAGCACAGCCTTAGGACAAGGGATGATCTTGCGTCGGTAAGGAGTTGGATTAAGGAGCAGCTCCTCCACCTGTAACGTCGACAGCTGCTTAACGAAACAGCTCAGACGTACAAGACGCCACGCTCGGGAAAGTCCCCGAAGGAAGAGAAAGCCCTTCATCAAGGCCTCACGCCCCGTGACATTCAAAGCCGCTGGCAGCTCCGGTCGAGACCC